TCAATGCGTTGGCGAATTAATGCATACGTTTGTATGACGCGCGAATGAGATCCTATCGCGCGGAGAAAAAGGAAAAAGGAATGTATGCTTTTGAGGCGAGCGGGCAAAAAGAGACATTTAATAAGCGGGCCGGGAGGAAGAAGGATGGCGAATGAGATTCGCGGCGATCTTTGTCCACGGCGGACGATGGGGGAAGGTTTCTTGAGACAGGGGTTCATGTTGAAAAGGGTCGGAAACGGCTCGGCACTCGGCAGTAGAATTATCTTCCCGCTAAATTGACGTCCCTCTTGTAGACACGCGCGACTAGCCGTAATCGAAATTGCCTCCCCTCCCCACCCACTCTCCTCTCTCCTCGCACCTTTGTCAGAATAGAAATATCGCGAGCAGAATGCATTTGCATTTATAATAACCGCTGGCTACTGCACTGCTTGTCTGGCCCGCTATTATACCGTTTCGTTGTAATTCGCTGTTCCCCCTCTAAGAGTTGTAATCTTGACGGCAAGAAAAGACGGGGAGGTCTGGCGTTTCTAACACCGTAAAACTCCGCAGAGGAAAGCATAAATCTGCGCGCCAAGATGTCTACTTTAAGGAACTTATTATCTTGCTAAAACATTATAAATTTTTATTGTTACAACTCCATTTCTTTTTAGCAGTGAAGCTTACGATACATTTAATTTGAATCTTGTATGAATTTTTTATGTTTACGCGTATTTGTAGGATATCCGAAAATTTCAATTTCATTTCTTTAATAGCGGAATAGTTCTCGAACGATTAAGTAATAAAAGTTATTGCGATTTTTTAATCTCAACGATAATTTGTGAAATCCAAGAAGCTACGAATACAGATATTTAAATAATTGTTTGTGTCGAATGGTCTAGCTAATGCTAGACGAAAGATTATATTACTATCCGCCTACGCACATCACCGCACAGTAACGTGTGCAATCTATGAAAATATCGATTACGTATCAGAACGTGTGAAATGTGCAATTACTAACATTGTCATACGCGCAATTTACGAATAGCAACATCTGGACACATTTAGATTCACAAGATATATAAGTATCGCAAATCACATTCCGTGGCGATAAATTGTTTTCGCACATTAGGATTCTCGATCATTGTTTTGCTTTCACGTTTTTTCCCAAGGGGCGTATTTAGATAGGCGGCTGATTAAGAGGGGCCAGCACGCGGTGTAGGGGGCGCGGTGTTATCGCGCAGGAGAGGCTAATCGTGTGAAACTCATATGTCTCTCGATATTTCGGTCAGCGTACGATAGGCAGATAAAGAATTATCGCGGAAAGAAAGAGGAGGAAATATATGAGTGAACGTTACTTTATAAAAAGAAGCGAGCGCGTTTGTTAGCGGAAAAACATTTCGCATCGAATTCGAGCGAACCCCGAAGGTCTGATGTAGTAGAATTAGCGCTCTTTGAAGACTTCCTTACACGGTGTTATTGATTATGGTTGTGAGGAATCTAATCAATCTGTTCGACACGTTTGAACACCGAGGGAGTAAATAAAAGTTTTATTTGTTCGACTCTTTCTTGGCTTTATCCAAAGACATAAGCTATACGAAATAAATGTACAAAAAAGAATCGGGCTTGATATATGTATATTTTATAATATTTTTAAATTTATTCTTTTATATATAACCTTTCGAGTGTGGAGTGCTCTAGAGCTAAACGCTCAATACGGACGACACGCAGGTCGCGCTGACAATTACTAGAGACGGAATACTTTTATATATCTATAGTCTACGTCAATAATTTTCGCCGAACACGTATGTATGTCCGTAGCACTTAAAAGGTTAATGATGTTAATATAAAATAAATTGAATCGATTTACAGGCATGATGTGTGTGTGCGCGCGCGCGCGCGCGTGTGTGTGTGTGTGTGGTGTGCGCAGCAGCGGAGTTGTTCACATGTTGACCTGTAACATACAAAATACACCTAAATTATAGCAGCATTTCAAATAATTATTTAAGAAATACATGTTACGCATATTAAACTTTTATTTTTTTTTATGCAAATATATAATGAAGTAATATCTTATATCTAATAATTATAAATGTTAAAGTTGCAACTTTTTGTACTAAATATTTCCAATTTTCTATGTACGCGTTACATGGCATAATATCTTACATGCAATATTTTGTTAAATAACATAATAAAATAAATGATTACTTATTCTAAAGTTATTTCGCCGGCGCCCGATGCTCTTTTTGAGCTTCCTTTTCCTCTTAGTCTTCGCAGTTCTTCAAGCTCTTCGCATTTGCGATGCGAATACGAAAATCGTCCGATATTTTACGACATTCCCGACACTTTGTCATATTAAAACAAATAATATATAACTCGAATATCATCGTATGGAATACACGTTCGACAAATGCGGGAAGTAATAAGGGGAGTTATATTGGAGAGAGAGAGAGAGGATAACGCACCGATATGGAATAATCTACCCCATACGAGTACCGTCATGCGAATAATAAAAGTGTAATAAACACATCAAGGAGGAAATCGTGCCGATTCCGATTTGGGAGAATGCGGGTAGTAGGGTGCAATAGTGTGTGTTCGATACATTGCGCAAGAGAGAGAGAGAGAGAGAGAGAGAGAGAGAGAGAGGGAATATAGATCACGCAGGCTAAGAGCAACGAAAACAATCTTATCAAACGCCGCGAGTCAGTCTCGAAACTCATTAGAGCATTTATCGAACATTTACGAATCAAGTTGAAATCGAGCGTAAATAATGTTCAATAATTGCTCCAATGTTTCGTGAACGACTCGCGATGTGTGGTGGGATTGTTTACGTTTTCACGCTTGGTATGCGTGCTCCCCATATCCCCTCTCTCTCTCGCGCGCGCGCTATGTATCAGTATAAACATTGTTGCCCCCCACTCTTCACATTCCTTTAAGTTTGAATCGGCGCGACCTTGTGCTTGCTGTTCTATCGTTATTCGCACGGCGGTACTTGTACGGGGAAGACGCTCCGTAGTGCGTTATCCTTTTCAACGATACCCTTACTACCTCCCCCAGTTTTCTATCTTATCCTTCTCCTTCGTTACCTTATGGAGAGTGTATCGAACGTGTATTCCGTGCGAAAATATTCGAGTTACATCTTTGTCCTAGAATGACAAAGTACGTGTCGGGAGCATTCTTTTAAAAAATCGGGCGATATTCGTATTCGCGATGTGAACGCGAGTGAGGGCTTTGAACTGCGAGGACTGAGAGGAGGAGGAGGCTCAGGGGGAGCATCGGGCGCCGGCGGAATAACTTTAGCGTAAGTAATCATTTATTTATTATATGTTATTTTTACCAAAATATTGCATGTAAAATATTAGTGATGTAACACACGATATAAAAACTTTGAAATATTCAATGAAAAAGTTGCAATTTTTAATATTTATACTTAATAGATATAAATATATAAATTTTTGGTTAAATATTTGCATAAAAGATGATTTTTGCATAAAAATTTTATATGCGTAATAATTATTTCTGAAAGATTTATTTTAAACACTGCTGTAATTTAAATGTATTTTGTATGTTATAGACGAACATGAGATCAACTCCGCTGCTGCGCATCGTGCCGGTAAGTCAATTCTATTAATTTTATTTTAGTAGCATTGTAAGAGAATATACTTAAAAGTATTTTAAAATATACAAGAAGAATAATATCATATTCCGAATGCTAAAAATAGATTATGAATATATTCTAATTTCGCATACATTTATTTTTGAATGTAAAAAATTGCAAGAAATAATCTTTCTCTCGAAACTTTATTAATAAAATTACCAACTCCGACATTATCGAAAATAAACTAATAAAATAGTTTTTAAATAACGATAATTCTTTTGATGTACATTTATTTTACATTATCTTCGCTCTTTAGGAACCTTTTTTAATTAAAAAAATGTTTTGTTAGCAAAAGAAGAAATTATAAAAGTAAAAAACATTTACGAGAATTCGCAAGCTCTCGCGAGGCACGCTATAATTTTACGGTTACGCAGAGTTTATGAGCAAGTGCAATGTACTTCTCTGCTAAAAATGTCCGCGTGCATATTTAGGACTCTCTCTAGCTTTTACAACCACAAAGTGAGAAATTGAGAATTAAAGCGTTCACGAACTTTTGGTCGTATATATGTCGTCCCTCCTTTGAATATCAAATTATCGTGCCAATGGATTTCTCCGTCAAAGAATCAAAGGACGTATTAATGACGGATAATTCCAGCGTGTTTCAATACGTGTCCAATGGTTATTTCTCATTTACATTACATTTTCCTTTATGTCACATTATTTTATTACAGATCTAAAAAAAAAAAGTACAATCAGACTTTTTATATATTAAACAATTTATCAGTTATTATTGTACTTCCACTGTGCAAAATTTTGAAATTTTTAGACATAGCACTAACATTGTATATAAGAAGGTAAAAAACAATAGAATTTAACAATAATGTTATTATGAAATTGATTTTGAGAGATAAATTGAACATGGATGAGTCTCTCGGCAATTTCTTAATGCGGAATCTGTTTCGGTCGCTTATTTCGGCTAAATATATCCTCCGGCTACGCCACTAGCAGTTAGATAAATGAAGGTAACAAAAAGAGCGAAGGAGTAAATGGCGTCAGGAGATCAGTTCGTCGCGCATCGCTTTTGAGTATCGTTACGCAGAGATCCGATGGCGAAATAAACGGCGGAGAAAGTGTTGGGAGACGTATAGGCACGTATGCGGTTCACGCACGCATACACACCCGAGGGCAAAGAGAGGCAGGTCGGAAGTGCGGCGCAGGTGAAGGGGAATGAGCAAAGAGCAGGCCTCGATCGCGAAAGAGAGAGAAAGATACCAGAGGGAGAGAAGCGGATAGGTGGTGGTTGGATAGAGAGAAGCCAAATGGGCTGTCGGGGTGTCGCGGGAGCGGGACGCTGCACGGGAAGGGAGGACGTTGGCGAGAGGTGGAGGTTTCGAGTGGTTCAGTTGTAGCGGCACCGTAGCTGAGGTCGGATGCGCGTGTCCGTCGTTTTACCGACGACTCGCGTGTCGCGGCCACGCGCGCGCGATTTCTTACGTACCGTACGTCTCGTTGCGTTCACCCCTCGCTCGTCGGTTTTTGCTTCGTCAGTGTCTGACCAGACGCGCGCTTCTTCCACTGATCGCGCGCGACCGGCACGGCGCCCGCGCCGTCTTTCCGTTTTCGCCGCAAGCCGGGATTTTTCATCCGTGGCGAATATTTGCGATCTGCCTTGTCGAGGAACATGAGGGAGGGGGGAAAGAATATCATAGTGTGTGATTTTATCATTCATAAACATTGTGTCTTGTGATAACGTCGCCCACCCGTTTCCTCCCGCTCCAATGAGTCATTCGTTACAATCTGTGCAATTTCTTAAAACAGAAAAAAGAACCACGCTTGTCTACGCTTATTCGCGCTCTTCTGCGAGAAGGAAATTCCAACCCCCGAGATAATCCGAGTTCAATGAACGAAGTCACGAGCGGGAAGTTGGTGTGAAAGTTACAGCGCGAATGCAACCCTGCTCCTGTCGCAGTTATGAGAAAGTTTCTTCTCGGCTTTATCGCGTGAAACGCCGTGACTTGCGATCGCAAAAAGAAGAGCGTGGAGGCACGATGGTAGGAGCTGTCGTGCATTTTCGTATCGTACCCCGTGAAAAGCCGTGCGTGCCGCACAACACGGCATGCCGGAAGCGAGACGGCCTGGGCGAGCGCGTCGGTGCACCGGCACAGGTAACGAACCTGCGGGGTTAACGTTATGGTAACGTGAATCGATCGCTTGATTTTCGTTCTCCCTCTCGTACCATCTGTCACGGCAAGAACGTGCGTGCGTGCATGTCACGAATATGCGCCGGTGATTCCGTTATTAACGAGCGCGCTCGGAACAAACTCACCGAGGGTGGACTGCATTATCGTGAATTTTCTGTAAGATTAATACATTTTTTTTTCGCGACTGAAGGTGCACAATTTTCTCGGAAAAGTTTTAAAGACCGTTCTCGAAGGGCACGTGGGAGTGTTGGTTGTATTATATCATGAAAACGGCATTCACGTCATCTCGAAGAATCTCCGGCAATTACGTGCCGTCGACTACGACAGAAAAGCGTTGTAATTAAAGAACACGTTCTCCGATTGGGACTCGAGACTTGGTTGGAATTGTGATAAATGTTCCCGCTTTGTACGACGGACGCGTTTATTGTAAGAACATCGTCTCTCGGCACAGAAATCTGCCGTGGATAAAGCGAAAGAAATATATTTAAAAAAGTACTGCAAAAGATATAATTCACGTAAACCGTCCTTGAAAAAACCGCGTAAATGTAAAACCGCGATAGTATTTTAAATCAAAATAGATAAAAGGACAAGAGTGCGTTTTATCGATAATACATGCACTTTAAAAAAAAAAGATAGAAGCTTTTATTCGCCCAAAGTTGAAAATTAAAGTAGCATGTCACTTTTCAGTTATTTTTGGAAAAATAAATACATCGCGCGGAAGAAGCACAGCCAACATTATTTCTGAATGCATCAAAGATGTGAAAGATCAACAAGAGCTCGAAACATAAAGATCTTCTTTTCCGATGGTTTATCGAGTTTGGCATCTCGCTCCGAACCGCAGCATCCGCCGTGCTGCACGTGCGCGCGGTGTGCAGGCTGGACAGCCTATATATAAACTAAACTACTATAACGCAGACTTTGCGAGACGGGTTACACTAATTCCGTGTCGGATAAAAGATTACGCGTCGATCGTCGGCCCTGTTGCGGCAGCGAAACCAAATACTTAAGGGGTGTGTCGAGTGATGAGGGAGTGATGAGGGATACAAGGCGTACATTAATTAAGTGCCGTAGTCGTGAGGCGGGTGCTTCGTACGTCTCCGAGCGGATGAAACGACCGGCGAAGATGTCGAGGAAATAAGCCTCAAGTAGTCGAGATTGACAACAATGTCTAGACCAGGCAAGGACCCCGTGCAGAAGTGCAACTCGGATCCGGGTGCATCTGGCACTTCGTGTAGTCCCAGCAAGTCCCGAGTTTCGCGCCGACAAGTACCGTGTATTCCGTCCTCACCGAATACACGGAAATGTGTCCTGACTTTGGACGGATACAGTTACGTGATCGGTGAGTAGAGACCGCGAAGAATATCGGTGAGTAGAAACGCGGTAATGTCTTAAACAACAACAAAAGATAAAAAGTTCGTGTAGTAACGCGGAAAAAAAAGATAGTCTTCTAGCAAAGTATAATATTCTGCATCAATAAAAGAATTTATGAGTACTCATTTTTATTTAGTTTACGAGTGAAGCGCGCTTTGTTCCTTTGTTTTCTTTAATAAATGAAAAATAAAGTAAAAAATTGAGATAACGAATCACTCTATTCTTCTCTCTCAAACGAATTTTCAACGATCGGACCGTGATTGTTAGCAATAAACACTGACGTCGATGTCGTTAAAAGCGAAATAACCGAAATTTATGCCCGCAATGCCACAATAATCGATTGTTTTGATGAATGCGCGAGGAACAAATGGTATATTCGATGAATAGCATCAAAGTTAGTTTAGTAATTGCAGATGATATAAAATAAAAATTCTATAAATGTTACATAAAATATTTTTGAGTAAAATTTCAATTACATGTGTGGAATTTACATTAAAGCTCCTATTCTATTGTATATCTTACTCATTTAATTAGACCGTTGTTTTATTGTATTTTCAATAAAGATTTAAGCGCAGCAACGCGAGTTTATTCACGCAATACATATACATTGTTTTGTTATCCGGAAGGGTAATTAGCATTTTAGAGCTTGCTGTGAGATATGGCGCGTGTAACATGGTTACGTTATCGTTATGCGAGTTTGCGATGCTGCACTCACATATTAATGTCTTGTGTCTAGCTATATTTAAGATTATGTGCACGCTTAAACTCGGCTAAATTAACATTGATAAATATATAGTTATTAACGACGGAAAATAAATGTGTGTTGTAGGTTATTTAAGTCTAATAATTCTAAAACGGAATGTGACAAATATAAAAGAGTCGCTTCTTGTATATAATCGGTGAATGGTTTATATCACGATTTTATATATATATATATATATCGTGAAAAAATTTTTGTGGAAAACTCATAAACTATTAAGAGTTATGGCTTTATTTTTGTAACAGTTCTGTAACGCCTGTTGGATAAAATATTTAGTTATAAGCACTTTTGTACAATTCTGCAAGTATTTAAACATGATACAAGAGCTTTACGGATAAATATATAATGACAGAATATTTTTAAACAATTTATATTATTTGAGGAAATGATATCTATAAATATCTGAGATGAGACAATTTATAAAATTTCAACAGTTCTTAAAATCAGATAAAAGATTCTTACAAAAGAAACTGAGATGCAGCACGGACTTGACGTCTCGTTTTCTCGACCATTTTCTTTTATTTAATGACCAGGATTATCTGTGTTTCATCTCTCAAGAACTATTAAAAATACAACGAGAATTCTGAATATTTTATGAGTTTTTCTAGAAGTCACACACTACTTGTAATTTTTTATTTGTTAATTTGTGTTTGCACGAACCAACTCATACACTTAAAAATCCAACAAATAATGTTTTAATTGAAACAATAATGTTAATTAAGTGCGATACATGTGCACACCCTTAACTAACGTTGACTCTCTTGCGCTAATTAAACGTTGTAGACACGCAAAGAACTCATTTATGTGCAAGAAGTTTTATATTCTGACTGCGCCATTTTAATTAATTCAATCACGTGAACAATGTGAAAGATATTAGAAAAGTCTTGTTTCTTAATTAGCGGGATTCGGATGAAGTTTCACGTTAGTGTCCTATTTACTCTCGTTAATATTTTCCACATTAATAACATATGATCAGTAGTTGTATTTTTGCAATTTTAAATGCATTTATGATATTTATAGAATTAATCAATCGCTAAAAGCTCAAAGAATATATATTGTGGATTTATAGAAGGTGTTCGACGCGCTTTTCTTATGCTCTTATTATTAAAGGAGATAGTATCGCTGACTTTGCAGATTTAATCAAAACTAATATACTTAAAAATTTTCAATACGTTCTTGAAGTATCTACTTGTGTCGAAAGAATTCTCATGAAGAACCTAGGCTCTTCTTTTAACAAATAAAAACTCCGAAGGGGTTAAGCCAGTTAAAACCCGCCTGTGCGCAATGAGTATTGATTTTTGTACGTACTTTCACGGAAGTTTTATACTTTCACGAAAAAAAGTTATCGTATTGGTCTTTCGGGTCCAATTATAGATTTCCTATGTGCTAAACTCGAAGCATCGGAAGCTTGTGCTCCGAAATATGCTTCACGAAATCAATATTTCTATGCATCTCAAAGGTTTCAGTACGCGTTCTTGGCTTTACAATATTTTGAGAACTATCGAAACTATTTTAAAATATTATTCCGAAATTCTTTATCAAGTTGTGCAGTTATTACCAGTTTTTAATTAATTGTTTAATAGATCTTTTTTTGGAATTCGTGTAATGCAAAATTCAGCCGTACGGATTTTACATTAAGGAATACGACGTACAGTTGACGTCGATAAATTATATGGAAAAATCCGTTCTGCACAAAACAGATGATATCGCATAAAACGAAAAATTCTACGCCACGATATATTATTTATAAGCGAAAGTTGACTGGATGCCTTTCTTGTGTTCGTCACATTTAGTGTAATATGATTATTTTCGCATTATTATCCATCAGAATGTTATTAGAGTGTGCTCGCGACGCAATCAATGCGCGGCAACAATCTAATTTAGAATTAATCCGGAATTTCTCCGCGGCTCATTTAGTAGCTGGAATACGAGAGCTCGCAGTAATTATAATCTCGTCACTAATAATTAACGATCGTGCCGTATGCATATTTGGATCGCGAATATTTTGTTGCATTTCATATCGCGTGTGTAATGTCCGAAAGTGTGATGTGTCGTATGCTCAGCCGAAAAATCGCATGCGAACGTGCGAAGGCAGTTATTAAGAATTATGCAAATCTGTCGTCGGACCGTCGCGTCGTGCGGAACGCTTTGCACTTATCTCGCATGCATTAATGCGACGGAAAACAAGAGCGAAACGTGTTTCGCGTCTCTTCCCGGTTAACCTTATTTTTTCCCCGGGATACGAGAGAGAGAAGCGACGTGTGTTAATACGGGCCGTATATGTATGGTATATATATATATATCCGTCGCCACCGCGGCTCGATGTGTAACTCGAAAACTACTATCATTAAAGCGAATTCAAAAGAGGTCGTCTGCAAAAAAACGGGTCGCCCGCGGTTAATGAAAGACGTACGCCTCGTTTTAAAGACTTTCATTTTTGTGATCCACTTATTTCTTTTCTGTCTCTTTTTTTTTTTTTTTTTTTGGTTTGTTTGTGCGCGCCTCTGCTCGTTAGATCTTTTTGACGTGCAATATTAAGAGATTTATTCGTTATGAGATTTCCGCGCAACGCGAGTATACAACACACGTGAGATGAAAAACACTTGTTTTTCCTCTTTGTAATTTCCTGAAATATCTTGATTGCGGCGACTTGTTGGAAAATCTTTTAATCTTACGGATTCTCGGAGTAACAAAGTTCGAGGACGAAAACGATTTAATGAGATTAACGTCTTTTATCGGCGTCGATCCTCGCATCGCTCTTCTTACGCTCGATTTAACTCGGCTTTTCCGTCGGCTTATTGCGAGGAAATTAGTTTCGCCGTTATTTGTGACGAAATCATTTGTGTGATTAAATTCTTCTTTGAGCGGCTATTCGTTCCTCCTAATATGAGCCAGGTGATGTAATAGAATTGCTGCGGTGTCTCCAATTTGTGGGTTTAATTAATCCTGTGACATTTGGCGGAAGAGAAGGTTGATGTTCTATTTCCATCCTCGATCTCTGTTATCAAGCGAATCGCTGTATCATTCATCAATTTTCTCTGACGTTAGCCATCGCAAAAGCATACAGTTACGGATAGCGCATGGATTAGCTGATTAAAGCTATGTCAGAAAAAAAAAGCTAATGTTTTCTCATCTGCGGTGAAAGCTTCAATGTTAATTTGATAATGTAACATTCGTAATTATTTAATACTGCGATACATTTATCTCCATAAATGTTATGAAATGGATGGATAAAATGTTCTTACCGCCAACTCATCGATATTGGATAATATTAATCGCTCTTGTCCTAAGCATCGTTATAACAATTGTGTAATGTTTATATGTTTGTTAACATCCACTTATTCGATCGATTCCACATAAATGTCGCGCTTCACTCGGTCGTTTAACCGACCATTTCGAGTTGCATGATTTATGTCTACGTAACATAATGAATACGAAATTATCCGCGCTTATTTAGAAAATGCTTAAATTATCATAGTTTGTTGTTTTCAATTAAATATCGTATATATTTTTCTATCATTTCTATTTTTTATCTCGATTATTTGATCTGAAATTTAAAGAGTATGTAAATTTATTTGCATGGAGGAACTGCAAGCATGATCAAAGAACCGATATTTGATGAACGGAATGGAGAAAGGAAGATAGAGATAAATCTCGTTAAAGTGACAGTCAAATTATTGAAATCTATACCTCGACAATAGAATCCATTGTCCGCGCCTCGTAATTAAACTGGCTTATTGTAATGTTTCGAGAGCACTCACTTTCCAACACAGTCGATCGATTAATTGTACGTTTATCTTTCTTTTTTTTTCTGCGTCGAATAAAAGCGCGGTTAAGAACGAGTCGTAAAAAAATAAATACGTTAACATTTCTCTTCTCACTTAGGATATCATTTTTTTTCTGATGACGTGTATGACTATTCTAAATCAGTGCGATGCCATCGATTTGTAAGAAAGGGGTAAGATAGAGAAAATATTGACTTTCCTTTGTCTGTGTTAGTTTCGTTAAATCATCTTGAAGAAATATCTTGAAGAAAGGAGCGCTAGTCGAGGAACATTGATCTTTGAGCGAGTTTATTTGTCGTTTCCTTTAAGAAGAGGAAGCTTCGATCGCCTCTCTCGTCGTTCTGGCAGATGCTTTTTGTTCTATTTTTATCTTACTATATGATTTGTATGAGTAAATTCTAAGTACTTAGAAAGGAAGAAATCAAGCCATGAAACAACGATGTTTCTTTATTTACCGCCAATTAAAACACGCGACACAACATTGGATAAATTCTTTTATAAATTTTATTATCACAATTAAAATATTCTAAGAAAAAATAATATTGTAAAAATTATTGGACAGTTTGTTGTATTTGAACCAATAATTAATTTTGATTGAAAAAATTGTTTGGCATAAAAGAGCGAATCGTGTTAATTGCTTTTCTGTGCTAATTTTCTCTAACGAGTCTCCGCAAATTGATAACTGGTGCAGCTGCTCGTCAACGTGGGTTAGCAATATGTAAAATAATTTCGACACGACCGGAATAAAATCACGTCCGGCACATTTGCATCTTGATTCACAATTTTGTCTTCTGGTAATGACATGAAAGCGACCCGTTTTAATAAAATAAAGCTCCTAATCGTGTGACCTCGTTTCAAATCGTTTACCAGATTTAGTTTTCGTCTGTTTTGAGAAGCACTGCGACTAGAGGTCTGCACACGTGTCACCACGGTTCGCTGAGTCTTTCTATTATTTCGGATATAAAACTCTCGTCAATTTAGCGATTTCCATTGTATCAGATAGCGCATTGACGTTGCCTTGTTTACTTGTCATTGAACTGTTAGTTAAACGATATATTGAATGATACACATTTATTAATAATTAATGGTTCTAGCGAATATTGAGTGATGGAAATCTAACAAATTTCTAATTTACTTTTTGCTAAGGAAAATTAAGAAAATGCGCGAGGAACAATCTGAAAAGTTATTTTAAATATTCAATAGTTACATTTATCAAAAGCTGCATGGAGAAACAATTAATAATTTACACATTCACACACATCAATCTTTCGAATATCATTCAGAGATATTTACTGACAAGTTTTATAAATCTTTGTGAAGATTAGTGAGAATAAACTTATCGCGTAAAGATTGATGAATGTCAACCTTTTGGTCAACCAAAATAGTTTATTGACACGGCGCGTTTTGCGCACGTCACCAGCGGCGGCGAATTTTTACACGAGCGGAAAAAGAGATTCCGACAATTGGCGAAACGCTAGTAAGAGTTCCGAAATCCCATTGGACTGCAAAATAACCACGAAAAGTACGACTAAACTTAGAGAACAATTCCGACCGCGCCGGCTGGCCGACCATTGGGATTTGTTTCACTAGAAATCTCACGAAGCCTTTAAATTGTCCATTCTCGCTTTACGTTGCAAGCCTCGAAACTTTTTACTCAAAACTTTCAGTTGTACATCTGGTGTATCTTGGATAAATTACTGTCCAAATATTTCTTTATTAATTCTATAATATTCAGCTACTAGAATAGCATTTATTAGCAATACACAAAAATGCGAAATTAAATTGCGAATATGTTCATGATATTTTATGATTATTTAAGTTAAAGCAATTGTACATATTTTACAAAATTGAAATTGCTGGTTATTACTTTATATCTTTTATTATTTAAATCAAAATAAATTTTTCAATAATTTTATAAAATTATTTAAACAAATGATAGGACGTTACGTTTGCCAGTAAAATTACACATTGCTTGATTAGGTGCTTTTGATTTTTTTTTTTAAATTATTGTATTATATTATATTACATGAAATTCACGTTCCATTGCAATTCTATACTAATTTGCAATATTTAACTTGCATTGGTTTAACTTTTGCACTCGAATACATTGCCGTTTATAAACAATACGCCACTCATCAAAATACTAATATTGATAAAGAAAAAAATATCACAAACAGTTTCTCACTTAAATAAATGTACGTATATTATTTTTGCCTCGTAAAATAAACTCTAATTGCGAAATTAACTTGTATTCCGCTTTCCGAGCTATTGAAATTTGCTAGCAATCTGGTGTGTGTCTTAATTGGCTGATGCACGCGGAATACTGCATTCCGTGAATATCATCGATGATAGAAAGCATTGCAATCCAGGGTTGAGAGTAATATAAATTTAACCATTGATCGTTAAATGTAAGCACCATTTTTGAACAAGTCAGCGAAATAATAAGGAGCGGTAAGAATGTTAGAGCATGACAAAGTGTACAGTTAAATTTTCCGCAGAAGCAATTTCGGTTTGCGATTGTTAGTTTGCTATGGAATTACTTGGTTATGTATTAAGATATAAGTTTAATAGCTACGACGGTCATGCCACGAATTCGCTCAACTAGTCTCAGCAGCGGGACTCGTGATTTTTACCTGAAACTCATTTAACTTTTGCAACGCAACGCTGCACAATTTAAAAAAAAAGAAACATTGCAGAGGTAGAACTTTATTTTAGTGTACATTGATCCTTTTTATTTTTGGAGTAATGATACAGTGGTATTTATAGTGATAGTTGTGCAATCTCGCCGGTTTTTATTTCTGACATAGCTGTAAAATTTTGTTTGTTGCTTTACAACAATGCATTATTTTCCTGACACATTATTTTATTTACGAAGAGTTTTGAATTTTATATATTTTTATAAGATTTGTGAAATATGATATCGGAGTTGGTTTTCCTTGATACATGATTCTGCTGCTTTTCTACAAGCGTATTTTTTGCGTAAATCTAGAAAATAAAATTGAAATGAATATCACATCAGATTACATTTAGAGAAAGAGAGAGTTTAATGGTACACATCTTCAGTAGACTTCATCGACTGAAGAAATAATTATTAAACGAGCAGAAGTCTTCCAACGCGAAGGATGATATTTATTATTGCCAATAATAAAGAAGCAATGAAATTTTGGTTTACCAGATATTACTTCTTTTGTTTGTAATGCTGTGAAAAAATGCGGAAATATTTACGAGAGTAGATCCGTCAATCTATAGAAGGCAATGCGTCTGCTTAAGAAACTCTTCTTCATCGGTTTAGAGGGAAAATTCCGCTTTTTCCTTTGTGATGCATATTACGTAAGTCGTACGTGCAGTACTCGAGAAATTTAAGACGATTTTCTCTTTTGAAGATAACGGTCGATATTATTATGGAGTTCTATTTAGAACTATGGAAGCCTGTGTGACACTATTATATTCCTCGTTATATTTTATTTTACGAGAGATAAAAAAAAGCCTTATCTATATCCTATTTTATATACATTTTTACATTAGGAAAATCTACGCAAATTTCTATAATTCTTTTTAGAATTATTTATATTCCTTATTATTGCCTTCTGGGAAGATAAAAGAAACACGTTAAACAGAATATGTCAAAATATATAGAGCGATTAAGGAAAAAATTCTTTTATTAACTATTCATGATGTATTTTTCGATGGCAATCATCTCAGTCACCAGAGAGGCTCGCAAGTTTAGAGAGATCGGGGACAATAAATCATTCTCTCTTACTGCGATAGTGCGATTCGAGCGTCTTCTGTTCGAGAGTAATATCGATGTTCTCGGTGAAATGCATAATTCATGCTTTGAAAGCGCGGCGCTGGGAACGGATGCCGCGGGGCGACGACTCCATCCGATAAGCGGTCCGTTTATTGTCCACACCAATCGCGATTATCGAACGGCCTGTTGCGAATTTCGCAAATTTATTCGTGCGTTTATTAACGGGTAATAATGCGTTAAAGTATTAAAATTACCGATTTCTACGTAATACAGCCGCTTCGATTTTGAGACTTTTTATCAAACTTTCGCAAATCACTAGAGTGCGGCCAAGCGCTCATAGACACGTTCCGCCCCTACTTCGTATCTTAATAGATATACCATTAAGTTACACATAGAATTGAAGCTTAAGATGAGTAGGATAAGAATCTGAAGTCTATCATTCTCTCAATCGTTTGGGAGAAAAAACACGATCCAAAAGGTTGCAATCTCAATAGAAGGCCATTTATTGCGATGTGAATATTTTATCTTTCCGAAGATCTACTATGATTTTTTTGCTCACGGCGGATTTAACAGTTGATAAGCACCAGCAGGAGAATTGACAGTCGGTTATTATGTATAAAAGTTCGCCACAAGAATTTTAATACCGACTAGCCCTGGGCAGCGCAGCTGGAAATAGCGTAGCTTTGCGCATGTGATCTCTGCATGCCATAAAATGATATTGATGTGAACATTTAAAATAGTCTGTAGAAAACGGTGTATCATTTTAGATCTTTATAAATATTATTGAAAATACTTCTTTATTTCTAATGTGAATCTATATTTTATTATAATATGGCATTTTTTATTTCATATATCATTATATGTATAATATCAATTTATAATATTCAATATTTTCTTGCGTACATATTTCAATCGCTTACTAGAGCTTCCGATATTTTGTTAGGTATTTTGTATTTATTTGTGCAAATCACGATAATAAATTGGTTTGATCGTGAAGTCAAACTGTTTATTTCTAGAAGATAGCAAGCTTCTTTGAAGATTGAGGTAATCGATTGAGACCCATTTAATCTGATTCAGTCGAGTATTATGGTGAATATGAAAAAAAAACGTTTAGTGGAAAAAAGAAGCGTGATGTGAATAAAATGTAGTCTCGGTAACGGTTGTACATCTTAGCAGATTATTTTGTCGAATCTCATTCGTTTGATCCTGTTGCCAATCTCTCAACGAAGATTTTCGCGTACGCAGATATTTTTCCATCAGGCGGGATTAGGTGCGAAAATTGGTTCGCCAATTTTGCCATCCGTATAACGAATTATCGATTTTATTCGCGAGAACGGGATAAACTGCAAAAAAAATCTTCACGAAACTAAAGAAACAAGCCGTAAGGCTTATTTAAAAAGCATCAAGAAACTTTTGATATTTTTTATACGTCTGTTAGAAAATAATTATTTATTCTAGAACAATAATTGCAATACGACATTTTAGCTGTACTTTTAAATAAAGAATCTTTAACACTGACATCATTATAATAATTATAATTAATTAACTCAAGCATCCGAGCGTAATTAGTAGAGTAGATTCTTATCATAATATTTTGATTATAACGAGCAAGCTTTTCATTAATTAATTATTTTTATTATTTCTTTTTTTGTATTATTCCATTATTCCATTATTTGTTTTATTTTTTTATTTGTACAACGTTAGTATTAAGAAGACTACCGAGAATAGAATTATTTGAAAAGAAGCAACATATTCTCGTGAAGCACCGGAATGAATTAGAATGACTACTGAAGCTTTTGCTGGGACATTGAATTTATTCAGTTCAACAGCTTGTCTGAAAAAAATATAAAAATACAAGATTAGATGTTTTTACTTTGTCGTGTTATTGCGACGTTTACGCAACGTTAAATTTTTATATATCCGAAATCAACATATATGTATTTTTTTGTTTCGTTAATATTAACGATTTTAATTTATCAATGAGTGTCATACATTATTACTTACTCTTTTGTTATTCCGGAACCCACACTCGCCGTTACAATCACGGCGGCTTTGTTTCCCGGTAAAGTATCCGTTAAAGTAACCTCTTTCTTGTCTTCATCTGAGAAATTTATCAGTAGTGACACGGCTTCTCCGTTTGTTTTACGCAGGACATGTAAAACGGTATCGCTTATAATATCGGTAGTTAGCGATCCGAATTTGAGCGCGTTTGATGTATTACGCAGCGTCGTCAGAGCGCGATAAACGTTGTAGTGAGAGTCAATTGTGTCATATTGTGCTTCCACATTTACATAAATGTAATTTGCGTGAACCGGTATCCAAGTCTTAGAAGCAGTGCTGAAACCTGTCAATAAATTAATAAATGATACTGGATGATATTTCACAATGTTACTAAATTAATATTTTTGTCGACTAAGATTATAAATGTTTTAAATAAGTTTTTTTTTATTAAATTTAATTATCTTTCAAAACTTTTGTTCTTTTATAATATTTAAAAAAAAATAATATTTAATAATATCTAATCTCGTTCAATGCACATTTTAGGAGTATAATAATTTGGTACACTAGGATTTTTGTTGCATATATAATTCTTCTATTCTTTTATATATGTATATAGAAAGAAAGACAGAGAGAGAGAGAGAGAGAGCGAGAGAGACTTATAAAATTTTTAAGTAAAAGCACAAGTCTATAAATTTGCAAAAATTATTTTTACGTACCTGCATTTTGTTTATTATTCCATTGAAATGGTGTTCGGGCGGGATCCCGGGATCGAGCTGCGTACTTGTCTCTACCCGCGTTACAACCTTGTGGATCCTGCGTATCTTCCCAGCTTATGTCTGATTTGTCCACCATGCCAATTTCTTCACCGTAATAAGTTACTGCTACACCTGGCAATATCATGGCTAACATTGTCATTTGATCGGCTCTTCCGGGAAAACGCGAAGCGGTACGAGCGCGATCATGATTTCCCATCTACAAATATATTTTTAATATGTTTGTGAATTTCTGCGTTGTTATGTATTATCGCATTACGTCGCTTATTTGTATTAGAATGTATTAATTAGCATGCAATCGTATAAATTCTGCACAATAGTTACAGTTAAAATCTGTTACATTACGCTATAATGCGTTTGCATATATTGATCATTATATAGAATCATTGCATATAGTATTATTATGCATTTTTATAAAATGTCATTTGTAGTTAGCTTTAATTCAGATGTTATCTCTATTAATTCTCGGTTTGGACGGCATTTTTTAATGGTTTGTTGAATTATCAAAGTAGCATAAATTATGCATTTATTATTATAAATTATATTTAATAGCATAAAAGTGCTCTTTCCGAGTTTCAGCAATAACGCTTACTGAATTATCCGACCGAGCTTGAAAATTATATTTTCATTATTATTGTGTTTCGACGCAATATAAATTAAAATACATAGGAGCACCTCAGAAGTATACTATATTAAGTCACATTTATTCGAAAATTGAGTCATTATTACAAGACTCCAATTTTTACGTAATGGCAAATGTTTTCAATGAAAATAAAGATGTTGACTGTATAAAATTAAGTCACAATATGATGACACATTCACCAGGTATTAGTCATTAAAATCATATTCCGTAATCATACAACTTTATTTTCTGAAACATCGAAGTTTGATATATTTGCGAGCTGAATCCAAAAAAAATCTGCGAAACATTTTAAGTATTTTACTGAGAGCATAAAAGTGAAAAATTTTTTTAAATCCTCCTGAAAAATTCTATTCATGTGATTTAACATAGCATATCTCGGAGGTGCTCATATAGAAGTAACATTTCCTTACCACCCAGTTAGCAACACTGCCCTCGGGCATTGCCTTTGTCCAATTGTCTATTACAGCTTTAAATTCAGAAGCTGTCGAGGTTTTATTCACATTCATGATAAAGTCAAAGTTGAAGGGAATGTGAGAACCATAGTTGTAGTATTTGATCGTGTTGTCCAATGTAGCGTACGCTTCAGTCATCATCACCTTGTATTCGCGTGAAAACAGATGAATTTATATCAGCATATAATATCAGCGTATAATTTTGATACGCTAAATTAATATAATATATAAAAGTAGCACGTTAAATTAATTTCAGCATTTTAGAAACGATAGCCACTGAACGCGATGAGATGTTAAAACCCACTTTCTCGCTTGTATTATATTGATGAGCATATTCGTCCAAGATCTTTCTCCAGCTTAAAACCAATTCGTACGTTTCCGGCAGATCCTTCGTCAATGTGTGGATCAGATATTCATGATCATTTTCCGTTGCATCCGATTTATTGCTCCTAAGTTCGTCTTTAGTGTAATTCGTTTCGAAGAGATACGGCATTGCGTCCATGCGAAATCCGTCAACACCTTTTCTCAACCAATATATGAGGATTTCCTACACGATGTAAAAGTAAAGATGCGTAATTCTTCATAATTGCATACTGCATTATATGCATGCTTTCCCTAATAAGAGAAAATATGATTTTACCCTCATTTCTTCTTGCACATTAGGGTTACTGCAATTCAAATCTGGTTGTTTACTGTGGAATTGATGCAAGTACCATTGTTGACGGTTTGTATTATACGACCAAGCCGAATTGCTGAATACACTCAACCAATTACTCGGTGGTGTGTCGTTTTTTCCATCCACCCATATGTAATAATCTGCATATTTGCCATTACGTTTCACGCTCTCTTGAAACCAGAAATGTTGGTCAGAAGTGTAGTTGGGCGCGAAATCGAGAATCACCTGGAAGTTAATTATGTTAATAAGATTTGATAAAGCTGTTAGTACGATTAAATTCTTTGGGATAAGAATAGTTTATTTTCGGTTACTTTTAGTCCAAGTTGTTTGGCGCGTGCTACAAGTTTTTCGAAATCCGCCAGTGTGCCAAATATTTGGTCGATATCTTTGAAATCCGCAATGTCGTATCCGAAATCAACCATAGGACTTTTATAAATAGGCGACAACCATATCGCTCCCACACCAGAATTCACAAAATGTTCGAGTTTGTCTGTTATACCTGTTAGAAACGAATGTTGATATCAATAATAGTGTAACAAATTTATAATATAATAATGTAATCTAACATCTAACGATGTAAACGATTTGCTGCCTCATTATTCAAGAGTTTTCAACGATGGAAGGTGCAAATGCATATTATTAATATATAAAACACGATATATTTTTTCAAGTTATAAGAGAGAACGCGCTAAAGTAGATAAATATTTTCATGGAATATCGCATTAGCAAATACATGTTTTTTTTAAGATGAAAATCTTGAAACTTTAAAACTATTATGAAATGGAAGCTCGCAGCATTTCGTTATCAATCACAATTACATGCAACATTTCGTGATATGTTACGATTGCACGTTTTTTTTTTAAATTACTTGGAAAAATGTTAGAATTTTAATATTTAAATACATTATTGAGTTACATAAACTTTTATTTGTTACGTTATATCAAAGATGCAACATGACGACATAATGGCGTTTCAGTGAAATCTGAAAATAACATAATATTAAGGCTACGTTCCCATTACGAAACCATATCTTCACGGAACAGCGTAATTACAGGTTGGACAAACACATTACAGCGCGTCGTGTTCATTGATGTTTATCGCGAAAATTATTACGCGAAGGAAGACGAAAGAGAAACGTAAGTGTAATTCGATGTCGCTTGACGCTTATCGAATTGTTGAATATTTTTGATTTTTCTTACCTTGGAGATCACCTACGCCGTCATTGTTGGCGTCCATAAAACTGCGGGGATAAACTTGATAGAAAACCGTGTGGTTCCACCATCCCCGATCGAGGATTTCTCCCGAGGTCACAGCGACCGTCAACAACAGACCGAGAGAGATAACGTAGTGCTGCGACGCGAACATCTTTACTACGTATAGCGTTCCTCTGCTCGGCAATTTATATGTGAAGCGAATAATGCTACTGTTGCAACGGTGACGTTGAAAAAAAGAGTCGATGCTCGTGAACGTCTTATCGGGCGAGTTAAAAGAATACTCTTATAATACTCGCATGATTATTTCCAAGGCAGCATTATTCTCGCGTAGCTAATGTTATATCTCGCGGATGATGATTTGTTATTTCGCACGAATGAGATTCCGCAAATGTTTATCTGCAGACTGATAACGAAGCGAAAGTTGGGTAGAGAAGTAATCAACGGTACCTGGATTTTTGTTCCGATTATTGCCATCCGCAAAAAGCAAGCAAATAAAATTTTACCTTTTATAGCTAAACCTTCAACGTACTAGTATAATTTTAATAGTAATTTATATTTTTTGCTGTGAAATTCGTTTTAAATCTCCAGTGATATATCTGTTATAGGAATTTTATTGCACTCAATAATGGCGACAATTTTATTTTATTTGGCTACATTTTTATTTAATAAACGTTTCTCATTACTTTTTCTTGCGGGAAATTTCAATTACAGATTTAATTGTTAGCCCATTTATTGGAAATTAAAGAATCCAATTTTTAATTAAGTCGGGAACAATTTTTTCTTTAAAATAAGTTTAAGATAAGTTTTGGACGTTTAATTATTAACTTCCCTAACGATATTTTAACTGCGCAAGAAAACGCGCGTTACATCTTATGAATTCTAAAAATTGTGTCACGCGAAAATGTTCACAATATGACACGTATCTTTCTTTTGTTTATAGTGTGCCGAGTTGTTTGTTACGTAGATAATCGTAAATGATATCTGTTGCGATAGATTAATAAATGATTTTGTTTCTGATTTGTGCATGATTCCGAGTCTAGGATAATAGAATATCTAAAGTCTATCCTAGACTCTGAAACTCTGTAAATATGAAATAGAAAAATAAAGTAGCACAAAATAAATTTCACAAAGAAAAGTGAGGTTGAAGAAAATTTCATGGTTTTGGCATAAGGGAGACATATCTATTATCAGTTCTATTATACTTATCGATGATTAACTAGTAAATACAGTTCTATGTGATAATTATGAAATTATATATGAATGTGTTTGCAAATTAATCTTGTGTATAGTCAAATGTAATTTGTTGCCAAAACTTGTTAAAGGAATTAAGAAACAGAAATAATTAATTAATACACACACATATACACACACACGTACTCATATACACGCGCGTATGTATTATCAATACATATATTTATTAATCTAAACATTTATATATACAAATCATATTTATTTATTAAAAAATATATTAAAAAAAATATTATCTATCATGCTAATCAAATATTACTCTTCTTGTATAAACTAAGTTTGCTAAATAATTAGTTACACTAGTTTAACTCTTATACAATAAATATTATTTTGTTGTTTGAATGTGATACTCACATTTATCGATTAAACTGATAGTATCCGCATATGGTCTGATATAACAATATTTTGGAGAATATAATTACGTAACATGGCTAATGAAACCATACATAGTGTGGAACGCAATATTATTTTATTATACTTTTTGAAGCTCACATTTGATAGTTTTAAAGAATTCGCAAATATAATAACTGCAAATTGTTATCTAATAGGATTGTAAGTTTTATAGGAAATACAACTTGCGTTTTAACTAAACATTCAACAACTTATACGTTGATAAAATTGACAATGATTATTCAAATAGCTTTTATGAGAAGTCGGATAAGAGAAATAAATGCAGATAGGAATTTCGTATAACGCGACGGTATTTTATCTTACAATGAGATAAGGCTTTCAATTTTATTTCTGCAAAAGTAAACTCGTTCGTTCGGTCACCGTGGCGCAGATTCGTTGCTAGTATTATTATTGCAGAATGTATATTTTGTACAAAAATTATAGCCGTCATCATTTTTTTTAGCTAAAACATCGCGGTGACAAAAATGAAAAAAGAACATGCGAACTTTTCGCATTCTTTTTATATTTCTTCGCTAAATTTTAAATCTTTATCGAACAATTGTAACTGTTGTAATCCGTTTACACTTGGGAGAGAGGGAGAAAGTTGAAGTTTGTTCAAGCATAGCGTAGTAGCGGAGAGAGTTCAAGATAGGATACATGAATTTCGATGAAGTATGAGCATTTGCAAGTTTCGTATATTGTCGCAAGAGAAATAGATAAGAAACACATAGCCAATTTTCTGATATTTAATACAATTGCCGGAATAATACGTCATAAACAAATAAGACCGAGACCTTTAAAAAACCGCACTGCAATTTATTTATCAAAATTTTTTGTTGTTTTCTTTTTTAATTAAAACTGTCAATACCAAACGCAAAATATCTGATGTATATCTGTAGATGTGCATTATTTATTTAAAATAATGCAATATCGAGAAACAATGTTATCGCATCGTTTTTTGTAATAAAGAATAATGCAGGCAGCAGTGAACGCGAGATCCACAATGCATGAAATGCATTAATATCAACGAATACAAAAATCCGAATATTGCACGGAGCACAATTGGAGAGAAATCCGCGTTTTATTCGCGGATTAGATTGTCATCTGATTTGTGTACTAGGCTCTCTCTTCTGATACGCGTTATACAAGTTTTCGAGATGCTGCGGGCGGTTTTAAATACGACTCGAGGTGGAGTAGAGTTTTCTGTCGGGGAATCACGTGCACGCGGAACAGAAAAAGTGGGACGAAATTAGGTTCTGAATACGACGTCGTGCAACAAGCACTCTCCGTGCTGGTTTCTATTCGTGGTAATTATGCGGACAACGCGAATCTACATTTTGGCTGGCACGAATGCAGATGCCAGTCACGGTCGCTGCGAGTGTCACGCTGGCATTAGCGCGAGCTAAAAGCTTCAGCTCAAAGCGGAAGTTATACCTTATCTGATTCCGCGCACGATTATATATTAATATAATTCATATAATTTTTTTTTGTCAATTATGAAATTGTATATATAAAGAACATGAGAACGCAATTTATCTATATACTCATGTATCAAGTTAGGACAACTTACATAACTTTTCTTGCAACAAAGTAATCGTATCAAGATTTGTAAGAAAAGTTGAAATTTGGATTTTACGAGAATTGATTATAAATGTAATAAAGTATATACAATTCATGTAACATATTTCGGTATTTATGGCAGATACGTATAAATTTTCTATTAATCAATGCCGATTATATTGATTCTTCGCGACAGATTTTTGCCTTCAACCCAAACTCTAAAATCTGATAGGTTCTTGTAGGAATTTGTGGAATCCTCTTTGTGAAATAATGGCCGATCGAGGGACGGTCCAGGCATAGTCCAGGGAACATGTTCCAAAGGTCTGAGTGGTAGACATGGCTAATATAATCCAGCTGTCGGGAATGAGTATCGGCAAATGTTGAGGAAAGTGGAACAGGAGATTAAATTCTCAATTTACACCCTTTAGGGTATTTGCAGGTAAAATCAACCCTCGCGAATTGATATTACTTGGAAATGATTCTCGCATGGCGGTATGAACATTTATATAAAATGTGACGAACGATAAACGGACGCAAGGGTAAAGTTAAAGAAATCGATATAAGTGTAAAAATTGCCTTTAATGAGAGAAAATACAGTGTTTATATTTTCCAAAACTTGAATTTTATTTTAAAGTTGGTTTTGCATTGCTGAAAAATTTAATACGTTGACTGATCGACGAGTTTTCTAAAAAAATATGTCTTATCGCGTACGGCATAGTAAAACATGCTTATTAAGAATAAAAATTTTATATATATATTATTACGTTTTTATTTAAAATTTCATGAGAAAGAATTTATTTGTTGGAAATGTTTCAAATAATTCCGATATTGCCGATGGCTTTTATGACAATCAACATATTAATATTAATAGATATGACAGTTGTGCAAATACAGTATTTGGAAAATTTAATGTTAATACGATTTACTTTTTAACACTATTTGCTATCTAAGTTATTGTTTCTAAGCGTAGTGTTACTTTCTTCTAATGAATTTGGCTAATAACACATGCGAGAAGTTAATAAATAAAAGTAGCGTTATGTGGGTACAGAAGCAGTAAGGCAAGATGTTATATGCAATAAAATCATTCTAACGAGTGAATAATATCTCTCTCTTCTTTGTGCGGAAAATGGAAATTACATTGAAAACACGATGTCTCGTTCAGATGCTCATTTCCACAGTTCTTAGCTTGGCTTTACATGCTGGTGTATATTAGAGCTCCTGATGCGGGAATTTTCAAAGCGTGAATATCTTCAATGGTGTTTCTAAATATAAAAAAATAAACAAGATGAGCGCGATGCGCAATTCGAAATAAATAATATCTGTAAAATCTCGTCCCTTACGCTTTGATAACATCCATCCAGTGATACGATATCTGTATTATATGCAAAGAAAACTTATGCTTACCCGATAAGGTGATGAGCGTTTGTACTGGCGTAATAAACTTTTAATCGATCGGGTGCCTGAACGAGTGTCGACAAGTCGACAGTTTCTTCTTTATTTGCAAAGTTCACTACTACGTAAACCGATTTCTCCCCCGCAGTTTTCCTGCAATAACGAGCATACCGTGCTTTTATTACTTGATATTGAAGTTTAAGCGCTCTAATATATTACGGCAAATTAAATATAAAATATATGTTGGTATACGTGCGAATATAAAATATGTTTTTTGAAACGAGTCATTGGAGAGTAATCTTATATTTCTTTGTTATTCTTATATTTTACAATATACCCTACCTGGAGAAAGCGAGAACATCGTTGTTCAATAATTTCGTGGTTAATCTTCCTTTTGTAATCGCCGGCGTTTTCCGCAGAGCGGAAACCGCTTTATACAGAGAGTAGTAGGACTTCTCCTGTGTCTTCTGCGCAGCCAAATTGAGTGTCTTATAGTTTTTGTTGACCGGTAGCCACGTCTTCGGGTTCGTGGAGAATCCTAAAATTGTAAATAAGTCAGATGTTTGTAGCAGCAAATTTTCATGATTTTCCATCGCGTTTGTATGATCGTGTTTTCTTTATTTGTTTCATATTCTATTATATACGAAGGTTTTTCGAGCATTCGGGCAAATTGGTTTTTTTAAGATTACAAATGACAAATCCAGAGTGACAAGTGACGGTATCTTGTAACATGGATTGAATGCGACCTGTTTTATCTCGAGTTTTTTACTCGCTTTCTTTTCGAAATTTCTAAATGACGCGTGACCTGACAAACATATCACCTTGATCCTTAATAAGACATGGACCATGACGTGGACTGACGTTAAAGTGGCATTTTGTTTGATACGAACCGGTTTATCTTTCTTTTGCAATCGGTTATTTAATCGAATTTTTCCCTATTTATTAACAAATTAATTGTTAATCGACTTTCGGAAAAGAAATTTTTTTGCAAACATTATTTTCAAGCAATATGCAGTTTTGATATTAAAATCCTAAAAGTGATAATACACAGAAAGTGTATTTTATTGTTTAAAAATTGTTTATAAATTTGCACAGCAAGATTATTTGTTCACAGTAAACGATTCAAATATTCTCTTTTCATTAGCGAATATATAGCTTTAGTTTCAAAAAACTTCTACGAATTTTTGCGATTAATTTCTGCAAATAAGAACCAGCTTAAATTGCGTTTGTTTTATTCAGACGGCTGAATTAGTGGTAATTTTAGTTATTGTGTGGGTGACTCACCAGCCGAAGTGGTGTCGTCCCACTGGAACGGAGTCCTGCAGGGGTCTCGGGACGCCTTCTCGTATTTTTCTTTACCGGCATTGCAACCTTGCGGATCTTTCGTGTCTTCCCACGAGATCCATGTATCTTCCATACCGATTTCTTCACCATTGTAAGTAACACCCACGCCCGGAAGCAGTAAAGTTATCATTGTTATAGCTTGCGCTCGCTCTTGACCGTAACGGGTCACTAATCTGGAGTTATCGTGATTGCCAGCCTGCAGAAAAAAATACGCTTTTGTGAAATTTGTTGCGACGCCACACAAACGTAATTGGCCACGAAAATATTTATTATCTCCAAATAATTGATAATTTAATCTCGTCTTCAAGTCTTTATTTAGAAATTCAATTATTATCTGACAAATTATACGCTTAGGGCGCAAAATGTCGCGCCTCTTGTATGATAATGAACACTCAAGATCTTAATTAGCTCGAAAATTAGCTCATGAAAATGTCAAGACTAATCAGGCAATCTCTGGGGAACCGATTTTAAATTTAAGGTTTTCCTCGCTCGACTTACCACCCAATTAGCGGTTCCCTTCACGACAAGCATGTTTAGCATCCATTCATCGATTAGATTCTTGAAATCGGCCGCTGTGGAGTCTTTATTCGTATTAGCGATCAGGCCGAAATTGAAGGGAAAGTGTGCTCCGTACACGTAATACTTCATCGTCATTGTCATATTTGCGTAAGCCTCCATCATTATAATCCTATCACCCGGATACTCGTCCAGCACTTCCCGCCATTCTTTTACCATTTCGTAAGTACGCGGCTGGTCCTTCGTGTATATCTTCTCCGTGTAACCGTAGTCCCCTGGATTCGGATTACCCGTGAGTGGCTCGTCCAAAAGTCTGGTGTCCTCACACAGATGGGGTATCGCGTCCACTCGGAATCCGTCCACCCCCTTATCGAGCCAAAATCTCAAGACGTCCTGAGGGCAGCGGCAGATAGTATACCATATATGCTTGGGTATAAAGTTCTATATACCTTCAAGTGGATTAAACCACTACGCTGTGTGTCGTGCAAATGGTGCTCGTTCAAAACAATGCCTCTCGCATACGACAAATATGAAACCATTTCATTACTTCTTTGCGATTTTCTTATTTACATACATTCAATTTTTTTTTCTACGCACATCACGATGCAGGAAATAGCTATTATTTTTGTAATATAAATAGAAATCTAGAAAATCTGAATTGATTGAAACAACGATGAGAATTTATGAATGTTATAAATTTTTTTTATAGGAAGCTGGTGTTTTATCAATTCTACGTATTTTACTTTTTATTTGCCGCGAAAATGTAAAAGTATTTTATTATAATGCATTATAATATAATATTTTACATTTTAGTAGCCGAAACGGAAAATAGAATATAAAATGAGATAAACCATTGTACTGTATCAAAGGCGCTTATTCGAAACAATATAAAATGCGCACGAGAAATATAAAAGATATATGGTGTAATTATTTTCTTGCGATTTCTTGATTTACATGAATTAGATTTTTTCCTAGAAATATCAAAATAAAAAATTGATAACTAACTTTGTTGTAGTCAATTTTGTATATAGTCAGCTACAGCCAAAAGAATTTAAACTGGTTAAAACAAGAATAAAATCTACTGTTAAATATGAATATTATATAAATATTCTGCATAGAAAGCTCTCTCTCTCTCTGTTTCTCTCTCTAAAATGTGTTTTAATTCATATATACTCTACTTTTTATTAAGAGCAAAAAGTATTATATTTTAGTTGTTATATTTCTAGTTTTTATTATATTTCTAGTATTATTATATCTTTAGCATTATACTTTAACGTGAGTAACTCATACAATTTTTGTACTTTTGTGTCAATTTGATAAAAAAAATCTGAATGACTCAATTTTAATAATAATATGAAATTAAAGTAAAGCAGTGAATTATGCTTAGCTGACACATATAATACTGGTTTACACAAGAAAATAATGTTATAATTCCATTTCAATTCTATATGATTTTATGTCACGAATGTGGCATGTTTCGAGAGAATTTTGCGACATAAGGGATTTGAAGGAATTGAGGCTGTGGTAAGAAGGAGCACCTTGATGTTGCGGAGTAATTTTGCGGTTAGGATAGGAGAAAATTGAATAAAACCTTGACATCTGTCTTGCGCGAGCAACAGATATACCGCGAAATTTTTGTTACACGCTACACTTTAACGAAAACAGCGCGAGTGTATCTTATTCGAAGTTATCCGCGTAAAATCTTTCGCGACTTTAAACTTTGCGATGTTTTTAAGGCCGGCGTAAAAATAATCGCAAATTGCATCACGCGAGCTTGCTGCACTATTTGCTACATGATAGTTTGTCCAATTTTATTGCGTGCACCAGTGTACTTTACAACTTTCGGTATTACAAACGCGAACGTACCACCATTTCACTGTTTCTCAAATTACACGCGCAGGTTTTGATTGCAGAATATGAATGCCCGCGAAACTTTTACGTATTGAAATTCTGTTAGGTAGCGTAAAAAAAAAAAAAAAAAAATATATATACACTCTACAACAGCCACTGGAAAATCTGACCTTTTACCTTTAATTAAGTGTAACGTGCAAATAATTTGTTCAAAAGTTGTTATCACGGCTCGGTGAACTTCTGTTTGTTAAATTGATCGTAATTATCTCGCTTCACGGTTGCTGGACATTTGTCACTGTACATAGTAATACATCGGACAGTCATTATTGATCATCTTTCCCACATAAATCGCATTAGCGCGCATTTCTCGCGTAACGTTTTAAGCTGTCAAGACCTTTAAAAAATCGGCGAATTATGCATCCGCTTCCTGATTCGTTCTACGAGCATAATTGCTCATCGCGTTCGCGCAACGGGCATCTAATTGCATCCGCTTTTCGTGCAACAATGCGAGAAAAACACTTGTCCTCGTTCATTTGCACGTTTGAACACGCACAGATTTATTGTGCAATTTAATTAACAATGCGACGTTACGTGACGGTGCACAGCGTGCCGTGCGATATCGTCGATCGTTTCGTCAATCGCGGCCAATTCTTTTTGAAACGCGAATCATTTTCACGACCGAATTTCCAGGTGACTGGTGAAAAAAAAGAAAAAAAAATAAAAAAACGGGACGATGTTTTCGCTTCGCAGCACGGCGGAGAACGGAGAGAATCTGTCGCGCGCGCGCGACAGCGATGACGGAAAAAGCGATGCCCTTGCGCGAGATGTATACAGGCCGGATTTATTTTCACCCCTAGTGACATCGACGACGCTATAATCCGTTGTCCCTACTCTGCTGCGATGCGGTTATCCGAGACAACGAGATAACAAGATAATCCGATATCACCGCTGTGATCGAGAGGAACTGGACGTTTAATTACCGACATTTTTTTTATATTGACCTGTTGGGTTTATTATCAGATCTTACCTTCCAAATTATTTGATACGAAACTAATTCGGTGCCGAAGTTTTGAAGAAATTGATACGATTTTGCGTAGACGCGCGTTGTGAAGATAAATTAGTTGTAAGATTGATATTTCGCGGAAGTCGTAACTTTATATTAAAAAAGATACGACTATATATATATATAAAATTCTGAATAATTCGACGTGGGACATCGACGCAAACTTATAATTGTGTTTGTTTTGTGAATATTACGTACCTTCATCGCGTGTACCACGTCCTCGTTTTCGAAGTTGAGATCGGGTTGCTCTGGTGCGAATTGATGAAAATAATACGCTTGTCGTTCATCACGCCAGGTCCATGCTGGTCCACCGAACACGCTCACCTGTACGTGCAGATAATCGCTCAGTTATCCCGATTATCCGATCATACCTTTAAAGTGCTGATATGGAACGTGTATCGAGCATGTTGGAGCGTTCCGAAGAATGCAGTGTTTGCGCTGACGAGAATACAGTATCGTTCGGTCGGTTTTGCATTGCCGGCGAACGCGTCTATTCGCGCGTATGTGGTTTGGAAATCTAAATCTAATCGAAACGGGTGGAATATCTCACGCGCACATGAGGCTTGTAACAGTAGTGATGGATCGTCGGTTGACTTTGGTGTCGAGCGACAAAGTACATTTTTCAGATACTAGAAGCGTAATTCGCCCACGATGGATAGCAAAGAACAAAGATGGATAATGAAAAAACCGATTTGCTTAGCGGAACTTTTTTGGGGGATTTTCATCTGATTGACGTCGAGAAAGAACTAGAATTTAATTGTCACTCAAAATTTTTGCAATTTAGTTTCTGTCTAGATTATCCCTACCATTTATCTGTGCGCGATAAGAGGTGTTCGAGATCTTTGAGAATCATTATATTTTTACGCGAATATTTTTACTCATAAAATCAACAAATGCTATTTTAATGCTTATATAATTGTGTTATCGAGACTGAATCTTTTTGCATGTGAAATTCAACTTGCTGCGCGTTAAAACCACTCGTGCATCACCATTGCATCTCAGAGATAACGCGAATTATTTAGTTAATATATCTAGCGAACAGCCACAGGTTTAAACATTGTCTAATGTTAACCAGTGTTTATATGGCGTTTGGAATACTACGAGATAGGGGATTAATAATAAGAGCTGATTTAATTCCGTTCAGAGAGCGTGAAAGGGGATAAATTCGAACGACGAGATAGTTTGCTACAGCATTCGGGATTAATTCTGACTTTAATAACGTCAGCCGCGTAGCACTCGCGTCATCACAGTTTCCACGCGTTATTTTGCGACATCGCGAGTCGGATTATTCAGTACTTACCCAATTATTTGGCACCGTAACAGTTCCATTAGGCAGCTTCTTGCCTTTGTGCCATAGATAATAATCGGTGTAGGGCGCGATGCTTTGCAAGCTCTTTTGGAACCATTCGTGCTGGTCCGAGGAGTGATTAGGAACAAAGTCCAAGATGATTTTGAGCGACATGTCGTGCGCGGTCTTCTCGAGCTTCTCGAAATCTTCCATAGTGCCGTAATCTTCGTTGATTCCGGTGAAATTGGAAATATCATAGCCGAAATCGACCATAGGACTAGGATAGATCGGAGACAACCAAAAGGCATCGATATTCGATTCGACGAGGTGGTTCAGCTTGCTCATGATACCTAAAAATTAAATTTTTATCCTACTCACGAAATTTTACCTCGGGAACAAATTTTTATTCAATTTAAAGTCAACATTTTTTGACGTTAAAAATGTGGCAATGTAACTATAATAATAGCGTCTTGAAAAGCGAGAGATAAAGATATCGTACTGACGATCTATAAATCACGACCTATTTGCGCTGTTTACATAGAAAATATTATCTTACTGATCTATTATTATCGATATTTTGCAACCAGTCTTTTTAAGATTTCATAACAAATGAAAGAACGTACCGTTGAGATCTCCTATAGCTACATCTCCAACGCCGTTGCTATCCTTGAAGCTTCTGGGATAAATTTGATATAATGACATTGTTTGCCACCATTTTGTTTCGCTATGTCCGAGACTGGACGATAGTAATATCGCACAGAGCGTTATTACTACCCTCATTCTTGCTGAATCTTTAAAACGAATGATAATAAGTTGTTTTTACGTGAGCTTATAAATGTGTAATAGCTCGCATAATTCTTTAATGGCGTATATTGTATTTTGCTCGAAAACAGGAGAAGGTAATAAGAGCTTAATATCATACTTGTTGAGGACAAAACAAGCTATCTCATTATAACTTTGGATATTGTAACTAAACTGAAATAAATAAATGCTTGAAAATGGCCCAAACTTTGTCTATTAAACGAGCAAGTTTGAGTTGGTTTTTTTGGCAGTGCTGCAAAAACACAATACATATTTGATAATAAATCACGTCTTTATATTAAAACAATATATATTTTAGATTTACATCTTTCGTAAATTTGTAATATGCGTATCACAAGATTGTGTTATCTGTGGAATAATTTCAGAAATACTCGCCAATGACTGTAAGTTAAAAACTTTCAAATACATTTTCTCACTTGCTCACGAACACTGCAATAAATTTTTTAAATTGACTGAAATCGTCAACATTTTTTTTTTTTTCGAAACATATATATAGGATTTTAGCAAACATGATCTTGTGACACACATGTTACTGCGATGCAGCTGTGTAAATATATTATTTCATTATATTATAATGATTATCACGAAGCAAAAATATATATTTACACAATGCTGGAAATAATTATTATGATACGTTTAAAAGAAGTTTTAATCTCTGATTTTTTTAAAGTAAAATAAATTCCATGAAAAATTACAATATCCACTTTGTGCAATTAAGTTTGGTTAAATATTATAACATGCAGTAAAATTTCGAAATAGCTCGAAAACAGCAGCAACTGAATTTTTACCACGTCACTGTGAAGCTTGAAAAGCAATGCGTCAGTCGGCATATGAAGCCGTTTCTATAAATTTGCACACTCACTTAACAATCGGCGCGAGTGGCTACTTCCGAGCTAATGGAGACTTCTCGAACAGCTGCTGTAAGATCTACTGTTGCAGAGTAAACTAATCTTGCCTCCTTTTATAGCCGCATTATATAATTCTGGTCGGGTAGGGTTTCAATATGCGTACTGTTGATATTGTGCCGAGTGTATACTGTTTTCATTTAATCGCATTGCGAGATTTATATCTTTGACAGAATTTTTCATTATCTAACTTTTTCAAGATAGAGTACACATCAATATTACAAAGCCAGGAACAGTGTTTTTCAAAAAGATAGAACGCTTTCAATTTCCTACAAATACATAGAACATTTACAAATGTACATATATACAAAACTGTTCGAAACGCATTAAATTAAATTTTTACGAAATTTTTCTTAATGAAGTCGATTCCGTCAAAGAATCCATTATTAAAATTCTAATGCGTTTAAAAATTTTCTGCTTATATAAACTTAATTATTACTTATTATTATTCATTATTTTGCATATAAAACTTAACATATATTCTGTTGTGCTCCCGGTTCCGTAGATAGCGCAAGGGTTTTTTCGGGATTCGCCGTGCAGAACCAGGGGGGTTGAACCGAGGTGAACAGAATATGTAGACCGATTGAGTAATAAACGTAACTTTATTCTCACACTCGTCTCGTTTACACGTTTTGTCGATCATCTTTCGGACCTTCCGACGCGACGCGCACTTGACAAGATTGTTGGTCTAATAACCCACTTGCACTCTTCATGTAGTGATTATTTATACTGATCAGTATTTGGGCACAGTAGGACAGCAATAGGTTTACTTAGTGACAAAATGCTGATCAGCATTATCCTATTTTGGACGCGGCAGTACTAGGACTTTGAAACGAGTGCGCGCGTGAGCGCCTTGCTTAATAAAAAATAAGATTGCTGAATACGCGGTTATTTTAGCAATCATGCTTATAAAACTACAAAATGGCTTATTTATTAATAGCGATTTGTTGTGGTTTTTCGACACACAACAATTCATACAAAAATATTATTTTATAAAAAGATTTACTAAATTGTTTAAGAAACTCTGATGTACAGATATGATTTTAGATCTCTGATTAAGCTTGTATGCACTGATAATCATATCATACTAATATCAATTTGATATCTAATAATCAATGTCATACCAATGAGATTGCATGAAAGTCATCAAACAAAGTACACGTATTTTAAAATACATTGGCAAAATATTTTTTTAAATTCTACATAAATACAAAATATTTTTAAAAAATTATCTTGCATAGATTTAATAATATTTACTATTGAAATAAGATTAATGCAACTAGATATCTTGCTTTAACAAATTAATTTGCTTTTCATATTATGAACTCTACGATTCCATTCTATTATTTGTTTAGAATATTTCAAGATATGGTGGGAAACGACATCGTAATTGGCGCGATTGTAAATGGGAGATTAAATTCCGCGATAAAAATACGCGTTATTGACAAACTTTACTATTGCATTCGGTACAGAAACGGTTGATTTTCATTTTCCATTTCGAAGCACTGATTTCTGTCGGTATTGACACATAATATGATGTATGTGATAAAAAGAAAATCAAATTATTCTGGCAATATCAGTTTCGCTTTACAAAAATTTTATTACTGATAAAATATTCGAAGAGAGATAACGCATTACATAAGCAATTATTGTTGACAAAATTGCATCATGCGTAACGGGAAGAACTGGAAATGAGGTTGCAATCGATATGTTGATATTGGAGATTAAAGTTTAATTTCAAGTTTCTATCGTTGAAATGTGCTTTGCGTAAATATCTATTTCCGTCCGTCCACTTTGATAGTTCACATAATATTTACAAAAAAAAAACTTTTTAATTAATATTTAATATTTGCAACATTTTTCTTTTAAGATAACATTAATTTACTTAACTCATAAATTAAAGTTATTTATCGTTATATTTACTTAATTTTTCAAGCCAGTCGTTTTTCGACAGTTATTTCGAGCGTTTGGTATAAAAATTATTTACTTTTTATCGGCGAGTTTGAAAATTGCGATACACTTTTGTAAATATAATATTTCTGATTCGCGTTACAATCTTTTTGTTAATACACTCTATTTTGCTAATAAAAGCTATCTTTATTATAGTAAATTTTATTTGCTGTATTAAAACGCGACGAACGTTTTTGTGCGTATGTGGAAGGAAAAAATAGAAAAAATTTCCTCTTTGTCGTCGCGCTACGAACGTGGCAGTAGAGTTTTAAACAAAAATTTAATCTCATGACCTAAAAACATTAGCGTGATTGCGCGATGTTTTATATAGAGCTCGGGATATGCTCCCTCAGAGTTCACTTCGTTAAATATTAATAAATAGATTAAAAATGTACCGCACTATGTGTCGTATATTGTTGTAATGTATATGTATTAATCAGATAATGAACGATAAAGTTACAGACTTTCGCTAAGAAGATTATGAATTGCCTCAAAAGAAACTCCAGTCAGCTTTTGTATTTGGTAGTTGCTCAAGAAAACGTTGAGTTGAGAAGTTTTTAATAATATATTAAAATAAATTAGAATAAGTTAAAAATTAACGCGAGAACGCATACATTCCGCATATTTGTTTTGCAAAATAATTTGTTATTAACGAGTGAAGGGGCTTACTGGCAGTTTATTCAGTTTCCAACTACGAAACTTTTATTAACCAAATTAAAAGAGCATAAAAAATTTTTTTACGAATTTTATGAGCATATAAATAATGTATAATTTTTTTTATTACATTTGCACAATGAGAGACTAGCTAGGCAAACGTAATGACGTGCGAATGACTAAAGATGAGAATGTGTGAGTATCAATGTGGAATTTTCAATTATGTACACACTGAAAAAAATCAGTTGAAACTCGAATTGTTCTTGCATATGGCGAAAAAACAGTTCTACTTTTTTGAACAGAATTTCTTGTTCTTCTGATATCTTGTTTATTGATCTGAGTTGATTTTCGGTCAATCTGATGCGATTAGTGCAACTAAATTCTGTGGAATTCTGGTTGCTAATACTCAATTTCTTTTTCCGCGCAGAGTATGAGAAGAAAGTACCGAGAATATAATAGAAGATAATAGATAATAGAATATAATAGAAGATAATAGATAAATGATGAGAATTTCAATAGTGAAGAGAAAATCGTTAGCAAATTTAATTACAACAGAGAAGAATATAAAAGTATAATACATTATTTCGCAAATGAACGATGAGATTATGAAAAGCGCTTTGGAACAATACGTTTCTCTATAAGGCGATTCGAATCCGTTAGAGAAGCAAATTTTAGTTCAAATATGAGCATTTAAATCATTTTAAATATTCTAGATTTGAAAGATAGGATTACATTTTTTCATACACGTATTTTTGGTTGTTGCATTTTTCACAGATAAAATAAAATGGAATTGATGAGTTTATATTATATAAACGGAGAAAGGGAGAAGCAGAGTTGATTTGTATTTATACACAATCGCGAATAAATACGTACAATGTTTAATCGGAGAATTGCACGAATTTGTGATGAACGGTTTTCCCGACGTCGTAGTACGTTCAGCTCGTTAGAAAACGACGTTAATTAAGAGTTTACATTATTCAGAAATGTAAATATACATATGTCGAGCTCAGCTCGGTCTCGGTGAGGCAGGATTGAATTTCATGACCATAACCTACGGCCGTTCTCTACACGCCAGCGCGAAATGTATAATCGCACGTCCGGTCTGCATCCAGCTATCGTGATTGGAAATCAGATTTCCCGAATGTCGCTGAATTTAGTGCGCGGGTATAATCTTCGCGAGAGCACGTTTGCCTCGTTTGCAGTGCGGCGAGGGGAAAGAAAAACGAGACAATGAAATGCGGGCAGTGTCGGGCGAACGAACTGCATTCGAGTTAAAGTCTTTGTCTAGACAGCGGGTCTATTCCGTCAGGAAGCTCGACGGCACGATAATCAATAATCCAGGTATGCGCACCTTCGGGTTACGTGCTCGGCTACATTGAACGCCGTCAGCGTTCTCTCAACCTGCAGCCGGTGATTGTATTCCTTTTCGTGATAAACCGAAATGATTGGACAAAATGTAA